GCAGGAGGTTGACTCTTTCCAACTCTTCAGAGTTGAAGAGTGTGGTCAAAGTAAGGTATCATGGTTAGAGCTTTGTAACAAGGGAAAACGAGGCACACAATTAAAACAGGACTCAACAGAGTTTATTCCTATGTAGTTATACTCTTTTAGTGCCACAACAAAGCCCTCAAAAGAGCAAAATCAACCAAACTTTTATCCACTGTAATGATGTTTTCTTGACATCACAATAAACACAAATAATGTGCACTCTTTCATTGATCATTGGCACAAAACTACAATAACTAATAAAGCATATGAACTGAGGCAGAAGTCCTCTTGTCAATGAAACAAGACATCAAAATCACGAACACACATAATTCCAGTTGACTTTCTTGAGTAGCAGTCACATATTGCAAAACAGTTACATTGCCCTTGGGTATTCAGATCAGGTACATTTACATTGCAACCTTGGATTAAATTTTCTCTCTGGAAGATCACATTATTTCAAAAAAATTTCACCAAAACAAGTGGCAATTGCAAGAATGAAAGAGCAAAGGCTTGCAAAGACAAGATGTGCAAAGGAAAACTTGCAGGGACATAGAAGTACCTGTGCTCTTAAGAGCCAGCATCAGAAAGACAATCCAGGCTTAATTAATGAAACTGACTCTGAATATTGAGCTCAAAAGGCATGATTAGGCTAAGGCTTAGTCTAGACTAGAACCTTCATAGGTGTACTGCTCCACAGCAGGCTGCATTCAGCAACCTACAAGAGAGGCACAGGATGATGAGTGGATGAAATACATCAAGTCTCAACTATAGGTAACAGGACCATCATGTTGGAAAGTGGAGAGGCAGTAGCTACTGGTGATTGGTATGAAGAAAGGTTCTTGGCTGAAAAACCAGCTGACCCTGAATGATGTCATTTATGTATTACAGCTGTCATATGCACAGGAATAGCATAGAAATATAATTCAACCTGTGGGACATGGATTGGATTCAAGGAAATTTATTGAGATGAAAATTTAATGACCCATATAAGCAAAAGCCCAATGAGCACAATGTTCTTCAAGAGAGCTTCAAATAGCTAGCTAATGTAGGGAAGCATTACTACAACCAACATTATAAACCATGTGAGCATGATTGACAGCAGACACTAATAATGAAGAGCAGTTGAGGGCCATGTGCAAACAAAGTTGAGGGAAGCAACCACCAAGTCTCAGCTGGACTCTCAGGTATCACAGCTAAGAGAATAAGCTCATGGAGATGTCTGAGATGTTAGCTGACTGCAAGAATGGGGTAGAGTTTGTGAACGAAAGGCATTGCTACGACTCAAAAAAAGACTTCTACAGAGTAGGCATTGAAGAAAACTTTGTTGATTGTCCCTGGAGACATACTTTCAACCAAGAAACATTTTCTAAACCCCAAGATGACTGTGAGATTCCTCTTGAAGCACATTCCTCTTGAGACTAAATCTAGAGGTATATGTTTGCCCAGCAAGGTGCCAAAATGAGAAGAAAAAAACAAGCAAAGAGAAAGAAAACAGACCAAGAAAAGGTCAGACTCTGTCTTACACCTTTTGGATTTGATGAAGCCTCGTGGACCTTCCCTTCAGAAAACAACTTAAAATTCATGCATTTTTCATTGATGTTGAATGGACCTTACAAAGAAACCAGCTGCCAATAATGAGAATGACCCTCCTCAAGTGTACTTCTACTTCTTCCACTGCTGTCGAATTTTTAGAATGATTTTCTTGTATATTTTCCCTATCATTAGAGATTATGCATGCTGGAATAAATAACAAAATGGAAAGGTAACATCTGGAACGAGAGATTAAGTTGCTTGGTACTTGAATCAGCTGTGAGGAACAAATTTTGCACAAATAAAGACTAGTTGTAATATAAATAATATTTTCCAAGTAAAATCTCCCTGTAGTAACTCAAGCAGGAAAATTACCTCCTTTTCCTTCAAGTCCTGATTATTCAATGTCACAATGGCAAACTACATATCACTGGAAAGCTATATTTAGCTGCTTTTTCAGCAATACACAATTTGCCATCATGCCCACATGGGATCATGAGTAATCAAGGAAAAGAAAGAAATATATCAGCCCAAGCAGTCAAGGAATGAGAGGAGATTTTTTTAAATGGAAAGGAATAGTCACATGAAATGCAATGATTACTCCCTGGTAATTAGTGTGAACTCACATCCACATCTTCATGATTATAAAACACATGAAATCAAAATGTATACAAAGCAGAATGATGCATACAAAATTTGTTCATTTAAACTCTGGAACCCAGCCAATCAAGAGATTCATTAGAAATGTAACTAATCAGAAATAACCTTAGCAAAGTTCAAGGAAACCAACCACAGGTAGATTTTTTAATCTCATGGAGACCATCTGATATAGAATATGACTTTTCTTTTATTGAACAGCAAGCTTTAATTAATACAAAATATGAACTGCATTCCTGTACTGTAATGAATCTCCTCTTTTTCCAGTATGTAAATCTCAAAACCCTTTCACAGAAATTAGTGATTGGAAAAAGAGAAATCAAAAGACATATATCCTGTCTCCCTGCCTAGCAAAACAGGTTTCCTCCTTCTTACTCTAGCACAAAAATTTAAACAAAATAGATCTCAAATTAGAAATTTTACTCTGTATAAACTAACCCTCTCATGCATCAATGGTAGTGAATGGCTGTTTGTTGGCTTTTCTACCACAAAACAACATTTCTTGGAACGTCTGGTGCATGCAGTCCACTCCAGCAGACATCATCCTATGTTGTTTAATGTTGTCCCATAGCAGCAGAATCTACTACTACTATGGCAGATTACCACATTAAACATTAAACTAATAAAAACACCTTTATTTGCACTTAAAAATTCATGCATGAGAGGGTTAATGTATATAATATATGAGCCACCTATACAGTAACAGCAGAGATTGATGATCAGCCAAAACTCTATATATTAAAAGCATAGGCTTTTTAAATTATTCTTAAACCTCATAGTTTCCATCATACCCCATCACTTACAATAAGACCCCTTTCCAAAGTAATCCATCCACTCTTCATGCCTTACGTTCCATATAAAATACTTCTTTGCATCAACCTTGGAGGTACTTATGAAGAAAAATCAACCTTGAACTCAGGTTTATGCAAGCAAGGCGACTCACTGATTAGAAAAACCCAAATCCAAAAAAACAATGAATCAACATATTCACCGGTGATTTGAGACAAATGTAAGACAGGAGCAGTTCCTAATAATGGAAACCTAGAAGATGAACACAGAAGGGCATGAAGAAAATTCAGCACAGTCCAGTTTTATGCCAAGGAACTATGGGGAGAAGGGAAACCTTCGTGGAATGAGATTCATCATGGCTAAGCGAGGGAAATTTGGAGGGGGAAAGGGAAGAAGTCCTGGAAAAGGAGAAAAAAGAGGGCCATTGTAAATAGGAGGAGGTGGACGGAGAGAAAAAGGAATATGAGGGAAGAAAGGAGGACGAGTTGGAGGAGGGTGCAAAAAAAAGGGTGGGGGTCTTGAAGGATTCTTCCTCAAACACCCAGGAGGCACATTTACATTTCTCCCCTTCAAATCATCTACAAAAGTAGAGATATAATCCAAGGTCACACGACCACAATGCATGATAAGTGCACCATAAATGGATTAAATCGCATTCTGATATTATGTTGAAATAATAAGTTCATTCCTGCCCTAGTACTAAATCTAAAAAAATAGTTATGATCTTCCATTTGTTTGCCAGGATTTTTAACTTTTTCATAACTTTTTATCATGCTTTTCAGAAGACAATTCTTGCATTCTCTTTTAGAACAAAACATCCATGTTCCACCTATGGCATTCCTTTGGCAGCAGGCAGTGACAAAAGGAGTACTGTGATGTCAATCTGATGTCTCTAGTCTGCTGTAATGTAAGCACATATTTCAGATCAACTCCATCATTGATGCAAGGATCCATAAAAAGTTACTGCAAATTGGAGAAGCAATGACAAACATTGAGAAGCTTCACAAGGGTTCACTTCCTTTACACATGCCACTAGCGTGCACCACAAAAAAACTAATCTGAAACTGCTGTGATTACTCATCATCATCTAAAGAAATATCAAGCAATCTCCCAAGAGATTATAAACAGCAGGTCATCCATGAATCCCTCAAACTTCATTTTATGTTATTTCTGTGCTGTCTTCTGTGTTCCACTTTCTACAATAACAGAGAAATGCTTCAATATTTGATGTCTAACATTGGACATGAATTAGTCATTCCAATTTGAACAGAGGCAGTTAGATAGAGTTAGATACTCAAAATAAATTAACTGCAAACATTAAAATATAGGCTGAAGACAAAACCTATTGAACAGAGCAGCTAATAGCCACCAGCCTTTGTAGCACATAACACTGATTCAATGTTATGTGCTACTAGGGAGGAGGGAGAATCATTAAAACCAAATCCATTTCTTGCATTCAGATGGTATATCAGAAATTTGAGGGACAAAAAAGGCAAGCCCATAAAGAAATAGTAATGTGAGAATGAAGACTAAGGGTGGATTTTTGAACAGAGAACAATCTGATAATGCACCTATGCACCTTTATTCCAGGGAAAATACATGATATATTTCAGAAATAAATCAGCATTATTGGATAGTTCTCTGTTCAAAAATCCACCCTTAAGCATTTCCAAAAATAGACTAATATAAGGTGATCTAAAAATACCTAGTACACTCATATTTATTTCTTATTTTCACTTCAGAGTCACTCATTCAAAACTGAATGGATAAATCTGAAACAAAAAAAAATTTAAAATAACCATGAGTTTACTAGGTACTTTTAAATCACTCTGTATTTACTTGTCCAAACTGAAAGTTGCCAGCTGAAACCTGGTGAACATACAGTTAGATCAAGTAAGAAATCCAAAAGCATGAAGTGGACAGAAATGAAAAACATCTTGTTTGCTGTCTTCCACCACCATAGGGTAACAGAAGTTCAATATAACTCAACCTGACAGTCACATACCTTTCTTGGTAGAAATCTTGCTTGAAGTATTGCAGCCATGCTCAAGTCTTTGTATTTGATCCTTGATGTCTGTTATCTTCTTGCGAACTTTGGTCAGTCTATCCATGAGTGTCTCATCTGGAGTATCTTTCATCATCTATTAGACAGCAATTGCCATGAAGACAACGATGGGTCCGAAACTTTGAAAAAATCCACAAAACACCATGAAAATTACCTCTTGGAGTATATGATTCTTCTCCAGCACAAGCAGCTTTTGTTGTGTCTGTAAGGCTTCCAAACTGGTTTCAGCAGAATGCTGACCTGCAAAGAAAAGTGTAATATATATATATACATATGTAATTCTTTAAATAATACAAGTACACAAGAGAAGATATTTCCATGATTAAATGAAGACAGCAAATGCAAGTAGAGAAGGAAGATTTCCTTAATCATCCTGAAAACATGCATACAATGACAATACTGAAACTACCAGTATTCAAACATCCTACATGGAATGTACCAACATTGTAATATACTCATGGCTCAGTTAGAGTTACTGTTTTAACCTTCATTGGCACATTCCATGACCTGTTTTGCCCCTCATCTTTAATATAAATTTTATACTGTTGCCACTTCCCTCCTCCATAGCAAAGCCCAAGATGGGGGAAGATGAAGGGAAGAGATCGTGGTTATGGAGAAGTTTGCCTGTGAAGGAGTTGGAATGGAGGTCAGAAGACCTCTACTTACAAGCAAAAACAAGATAGACTTCCAGCAATCTCCATTATTGTGAGGGCTCAACTACTGTCACCATGGCAAGGTCAAATATCCAGGACCCATGGCTCAAAATTAGTAGGATACTTTTATTTTTAATCTGCATTGAATGATAAATTTCCAGAGTCTAGAAGTTTTCACAATGAATGAAAATTCCACCAAATAATAAACCCTAACCTCTCCATTTAAATAAAATAGAGTATGGTGTATGAATTACAGAGACAATCTTGCACCACTTCATAGTAGTCATACTCTCATCATGTTCAGATTCATTGAAATTCAGAACATCATTGCAACTGCCAGGAGTTGAGGGTCAAGTTACACTGAGAGACATACATATGACTGTTATGGAACTAGGACTGAGGCCTTTATACCTGAAGAAGGGATGATGAATTCCTCTTGCCAGTATGGATCATCCACTGAAAAACCCTCAAGTATTGTGGATATGGTCACAAACTCAGGACTGTCCTCCTTATCTCCTGACTCCAAAGCCAGCAATAGAGAGCCCAAAGGATATACCTGGACTGAATCCATGTTGCTCTTCCACCCAGAGATGGCCATCCTAGAGAGACACAGGGAAAATGCAGAAGATCCAGTGAAGTCATACATTTTTCAATCACCTTTCAATTTCCAGATCCACTTACATAGTGGCCTGTGTGAACATCTCCTCAATCTCTTTGCAAAAAGATGCACAACATTTAACACCATGTAGGAAGGAAGGCATCTTGCACATGGCTGTATCAGGGCAAGAGGCACTTCCACAGAAGATCATATGTAAATCAAACTGACTCAAATATGGACAAGAGCCAATCTTGATCACATGGTAGATGTTCCCATCTCTTGCAACTGTGAAAACCACGAGAAACTCACTGTTTGTGCCAGGTGTGACATTCAAGTAAAGGAAGAAAATTTCAGAAGTATTAACTCACCAAAGGGCTTTATAATCTTCAGCATGAATGCTTTCATGACTTTCATGACATGACTAGTTGTCTGATCGAAGCTTTTACTTGCTGAATCAGAGTTACTATGGAGATCACATTGTTTGTTTGTTGAGTTCAGATTGTTTGGCACTGTTTGCAAACTTTTTTGATCAAACTGCCTGCACAGTGGGTCAGGATTATTTGGCACTGGTAGCTGATTTTTCAGATCCAACTGCTCACTAGAGAGATCAGGAATTATTGGAATTGCTGGCAGACTTCCCAAGTCAACCACAGCCTCCTGCTTAGGCTCCTGTTTAAAAAAAGAAGAAAAGAAAAGACATCAATTGTAAATATTTCATACAATAAAAAAAGTAAGAGCTAAGAGAATGAGTTGAAAACCAAATTGCCTCAGAGATTGAAAACAGAAAAACTGCATCTCAACTCATAGAGACTCATATTTAACACCAAAAGCATGAATGTAACAGGTAACTCAGACGAAAGGGGGTAAATTTGCAAGGATACAAGTTAAGTTTCATCTCCACGTGATTTAAAAAACAAAAAACATATTGATGATCTTTGATGCTGCCTGTGAGGGCAAGGCAAAATAAAGGAATGTGCCCACAATTATAACTATCCACTGCCTTGCAACCAGGTCCATCATTGTATGGACAATGTTCTATGAGGTTTATCTGGAATATATGAATGACTTAGTTCACCATATGGCCAGTTTTTCAACTCTCCTTTTAAGGACTAGAGATCTGAAACTTCTTTCATGGTCATGAAAGTAGTTTCAAAAGAAGTTCCAAAAGTTAAAACCATTATCACCAGTATGTGGTGAGAGTAACAAGAAAGCAACATTCATAGCAAGAACAAAATATACATGTAGAAGCATGACTCACTTGTATAGGATGACTTTCCCTGACTGCCAGTCCCTCATCAAGGAGAACATCTTGAATGTAGATGTCACAATCACCAGTGGTATCACAAAGTACAAGGCTACACCTTGAAGTCTAAAAATAAAAAAGGTAAACCATGATGGACCTAGCACAGCTGTGAACTACCAGCAATGTTATAAAAATTAAGGCATGATGCAATAAGAGCTAGCCAACATCCCCAACAGCTGAAACAGGAGTCAAGGCATACCTTTCTGAGAATACAACAATTTGATTCCTGCCTGAATGGCATCAGTGTGACATCAGTATTTGCAATGACAAGGGAGTCCTCATCCTACTCCTCGATTTCCACTTCTAACCCTTCCTCCCATTTGTTGCATTAGTTTTCATATTCTAACCCTCATGCATGACTCACAGCATCGTTCACATAGCCAATCTATGTGTAAGACAAGGAACCTCAACATTTCACCTAGCATGCAGATTTCAAAGCTTCCATTCAAAACCCTCATAAAGACACCCCAGGTACCAGCAGAAGCATCTTGAATAGAGACTGCAACTTTCATGGACCCTCCAGTCATGATGTATGACATGAAATACATGTATATTGACCATCTTAAGTTGATTTGCTTGCACCATCCTCCTTGTTTGCCTTATTCACTCCAAACAAGTAGACTATAACATGCCTCTCTAAGGTACAATGGCCACTCACATACTAAGACACACTCATGATTACAAGAGAATCTTTCTCGGGGAGCTCTGAATTTCACTATCTTTCATTATGCACTTGAAATTCTCATATTGTGATATAGTAATTATTTGCCTGCTTTAGTTAATATTAGAGTTTAAATCTATAGAAGAGGCTGAAATACGGTGATGCACATTTTTCCATTGCCATACCTTCGAATAAAGATGCAAAAAAGTTAAATTATTGATGTCCTCCAAGAATGCTCATAAAGAACACAATTGAATAAGCACACACTGTCATGCCCCTGAATAGTGCAGTATAGAAAAAATAATGAGGATGAGAGGGCATTGACAGTGTTCATCCCATGCTGAAATATATAAGTAGAATTTCTTGGGCATTAAAGATAGTTCCTGATCAAATTAAAAAAGCAAACTTATCTGCACCTATCAAAGATTGACCAGCTTCTCAGCTCAAACTTGTTCTCAGACTGCCACAGTGCTTTCCATAGTAGTTTAGCAGGCATGTTTGTAAGTTGAAAGCAAGAGAAGACTGCTTGGATGCAAAAATCAGATTTACCAGCATCAAATTCCAAAAAAATAATGCAAACAAAATAGAAACATGGTCCAATGGGAAGGTGCTCAGGTAATATCAAGTACCTTCTGAACATCAGCCACATTTGCAATGCAGACTTCAGTGAAATACCTATAAATCAAGGGTCCATGGAGCACAGTTCAGTGTTCTATAAGAATCATGCAAAGCAAGTTTTCACAACACATGGGAATCTGCAATTTACATCAATTACTCACTTATCACTGCTGTCAATGATGAGTAAAAACTAGGGCTGTCACGATAGCAGTTTTCAAAACATCGATGCATCGACCTAAATTATCGATAGTGTATCGATGCATCGTGCAGGGGTGGGGGGAGTGCGCCAGAGGATTCCATCTTTCCTCGCCGCGATCGGAGCGCGGACCTCTATCCGGCTTCCATAATCTCACGCTTGTGATCCGGGGTGCAAGGGGAAGGTGTGACCTTCGCAAAGAGTAATAAAACCAACCATGCAACCAACACATGCAACCAACCATCGAAGATGGATGCATCAGGGCAGCCCTAATTTTCTTCGTTCTACACTGTCTTTGGACAGATAGGAAACCGACAGATAGGAAACCTGCCGATGGTGCCAAACCGATGGCTGCCGAAACATCGGTACAACCCTAGAATAAGCAACGTCCACATTCACTTCGATTTCACCTCAAGTAGAAAAACACCTCAAGTAGAAAAACGCCCCAAGTATAAAGCGCCCTAAGGCAAGTTAAGAATTAAGAAAGTTAAGCCTGCATACTAAAGTGATAGAGAGAGGATTAACCGATGTACGTTTCGAAATGAAGGGAGTATAAGAACAGTCCACTTCCGCAGCATGCACCTCATGAGATCGAGCCGGAGACTGAAACTGACGTTAAAAAAATAATATTCTCGGTCTTCCCCCCCTCTCCTTTCCCACTTCCTGTCTCCGATCCGACTTTTTTTCCCCCTTCCCGTCTTTCATATAGTCAGTCCCAGCATTTCCGGAATTTGATTGTGATAAGAAACCGCAAGCCCATTCAGGTCACGCCGCTTCTTCCTTTCCCCACCGGGTCTGACTGTACTCGCCTCAATCCAATGGGACATTTCCCCTTTAAAATCTTTTGCCGATGCATCGCGATGGTCGAAGAAACTATCGATATCTCCAACTATCGATAGCGGTATCGATGCATCGACCTATCGGGACAGCCCTAATTTCAACCATTCACATCAGGTGAAAAGAACTTCATAAAATAACAGAAATAATAAATGGGCGTCAAAACATATCACAGGTCTTTCACAGTGTCAGATATTTTATAAATATTTAATATATTTGTTCCAGTTCATCTGTCCAATGGGTTTATGATGAGATGAGATGAGTTCTGGGTCTAGATCCTGGAATCGGGTCCCTACCGCCAGGAGGGTTGGCCTCCTCTTGGCACGATGTTGGGGTGCTACTCTTTCAACCATATTAGCATACGGAAATGCCCCTCCAGCCATACTCCTCATTCACCTCCGATATAGACAGTGATGGTAGTTCCGTTATTCATGCGATCGGTCTCCAAGCCCCCATGAATATATCCCGATTTTTCGCCTGAACAAGGGTGAGTTGAAATAGCTCCTGGATTCTGGTATGGTGTCTCTCTCTTCATGAATTCTCTCATCCGTTATGCAGGTGTAGTCGAAGACTGTTTTCTCCATCGACAGTTGCTAGTGGACTCCTTAATTTTTCAAATCCAATAATGTCTCTATTTTTTTGTGCAGAGGCTTTTAGTCTTCCTTTATTTTCCTGGACAGCCGTTCCTGAAAAATTCTGAGGTTATTAATAGTTGTTGCATTTTCTAACATTGCCTTCATATATGATCTGTAGATCGTTGAAACGAGTTGATGCCCAAATTGATTAATTGATTAATACCGAGTTCAAGGAAGAACAAGTTCGCTCGAAGTGGGATGAAACAATAATGATCCACCGAAACATCTTCCAACGAACTTCCTACTTCCTGTCTGTATCATGTATGGGCAGGAGACAGTACATTTTTGGATGTGATCTTCCCCTGGATGTGCTAAATTGCACAATACAGGAAAAGGTCCGACTGCAATGTTCTATGGAGTGTCCACGAGATCAATTTTTCGTTTCCTCAGCTGGTAGCCCGAATTAGAATATGAAGGATTGAGATCACAGACTCTGCCATCGTTTTTATTGTCTTGTAGGATGAAAGGGTTCTTTTTGTGAATATGAGCTTATTTTATATTGACCCCATTAATCTGTCTCGAATATGAGGATAACAGGTGATGATGTGTCCGTGTTCATTGATTCCTATAATGAGACAATGCGAGACATTTGGCAAGGTACTAGACATTCCTGTGCGGGACTATTCCAGGGAAAGGGAGAAGGGCACTTTTGTGTAGTCGAGAAATAATGCTCGAACAACCCTTGTAGTCCTGTCGTCCTGAGCTTTCACTACATGATGGAGTAGAGTCGCAACGGCATCAGATGTACTGCAAATCTTGCAGATTTGCGGTATGCAAACTGATTTTAATCCCTGGAATCTGGATCTATCGTTTCTTGGAGCTCATCTAGCATCATGTACTGGAGGCATTTAAGGAAGGGAGACGATAGCCCTACAGGTCTGTAGTCCTTTAATTCTTTGGGGTGGGAAGTTTTCGGAAGTGGGACGATCTTCACCTTCTTCCAAATTTTCGGAATTTTTCTCTGTCGCAAACACTCATTGAAGATGTCCATCATTGGCTCGGATAGTGCTTTAGATGCATTTCGTATCGCGAAAAGGACTAAGACCGTCAGGACCAGCTGATTGCTTTGACCTTAGTCGTCGTAGTAGCTGTTCAGTTCGCTCTTTCGTCAAAGTTTGAAAAACATGTTCGTTTGGCTGTTCAAGAACGGAGTCGATCAAATTGTCTTCAATTGTTGGCTGTCTTTCAAAACGAAGGAAAAACAAATTCAAGTCTTGGTTCGACAGCATGCTTCGGCTTGTCATACTTCTAAAGCCACTCAGATTCCGAATCAACTCAAAATACCCCTTCGAGTCAGCTTTTCTTCTTTGTGCTAGGATACGTTGTTGAACCATTTGAATCTCTTTGGTTAGTTGGATATCCCAGAACTTGAAATCATTATCATGGGATGCCATTGCAGCCTTTTCTCGTTGTCTTCTCGCGTATTTTAGGTTGGCATTGGAGAAGTGCCCTTTCGCAAAGTGAACTTCAACTCTCAAGACTGAGGAACTGAGCTCAAAGCAAAAATGAATGCAAGCGTTTATTACCTCGCTCCTGATTTCAAGATCTCTCAAAACCGACCAGTCAGTATTTTCCAATTCAAAATTAAACAGTTCCTTATTGAAGCTTCTGATTTTTATCATCTTCTTGTAGGGTTTTCTGCGATAACAATTCAGCTGCATAGGATGACAGAATCATGGAGTGATCGGAGAGCTTCGCCAATTTCCGAGAACGCACATTCGTGTCATTTGTCCAAATGGCATCTAGTGAAGCTTCTCCTCTGGTTTTGAAATCCACGAAATGTTTCATGCATCCAGTGAGACCAATAGAACCTCTTATACAAAGGGAATCAATGTATTGTCCGGGTTGGGAAGTTTTTATCTGCTCCTTTACCCTTTGGAAGAGGCATTCAACATCCTGGGAGGGGATCCCTCCCAGGATTGCTCTTCTCCATTGCAATCGAGCCTTTTCTTCGAAATTCTTCGAAAATGCCTTTTACCTTATGCCGTTCTTTCCCCAATGACGGATTCCCCAATTGTTGTTTCTGTATATGCAGATGACGTTTCAGTATTTGCTTAATCGAATCAAGGTTTTGAAGTTCTCAGTAGCTCTGACTGCAAATTTTTCTAAGCCTCGCAGGGTCTGAAATCGAACTTCCAAGAGATGTGATATCGATTCGAAGCAAGAAAAAGGGCTTCCCACGTCTATCCGACTGAATCCAGATTCCTCCACCTGCTCCACCTTTCAGGGAAACGTAAATTCTTCTAAGCATCGCACAAGCACGACTCGAATTTACTTGAGCTGCGAAGTCGATTGGAAGAAAGAAAAAGGGCTTCCGACGTTCATCCAACTAAATCCAGATTTCTCCACCTGCTCCACCAATGGACCGTAAAATTTTCGAAGCATCGCACAAGCACGACTCGAATTTCCTTAAGCTGCGATGTCGATTCGAAGCAAGAAAAAGGGCTTCCCACGTTCATCCAACTAAATCCAGAATTCTCCACCTGCTCCACGTTTCAATGGATGAGACCGTAAAATTTTCGAAGCATCGCACAAGCACGACTCGAATTTCCTTAAGCTGCGATGTCGATTCGAAGCAAGAAAAAGGGCTTCCCACGTCTAACCGACTGAATCCAGATTCCTCCACCTGCTCCACCTTTCAATGGACGAGACTGCAAATTTTTCTAAGCATCGCAGGGTCTGTAATCGAACTTCCAAGAGATGTGATATCGATTCGAAGCAAGAAAAAGGGTTTCCCACGTTATCCAACTAAATCCAGATTTCTCCACCTGCTCCACCAATGGACCGTAAAATTTTCGAAGCATCCCACAAGCTCAACTCGAATTTCCTTGCGCTGCGAAGTCGATTCGAAGCAAGAAAAAGGGCTTCCCACGTTATCCAACTAAATGCAGATTTCTCCACCTGCTCCACCAATGGATCGTAAATTTTTCTAAGCATCGCACAAGAATGACTCGAATTTACTTGAACGCGAAGCCGATTCGAAGAAAAAGGGCTTCCCACGTGATCCAACTAAATCCAGATTCCTCCATCTGCTCCACCTTTCAGTGGACCGTAAATATTTCTAAGCATCCCACAAGCACGACTCGAATTTCCTTAAGCTGCGAAGTCGATTCCAAGCAAGAAAAAGGGCTTCCCACGTTCATCCAACAAAATCCAGATTTCTCCACCTGCTCCACCTTTCAATGGATGAGACAGTAAAATTTTCGAAGCATCCCACAAGCACGACTCGAATTTCCTTAAGCTGCGAAGTCGATTCGAAGCAAGAAAAAGGGTTTCCCACGTTATCCAACTAAATCCAGATTTCTCCACCTGCTCCACCAATGGACCGTAAAATTTTCGAATCATCCCACAAGCACAACTCGAATTTCCTTGCGCTGCGAAGTCGATTCGAAGCAAGAAAAAGGGCTTCCCACGTTATCCAACTAAATCCTGATTTCTCCACCTGCTCCACCTTTCAATGGATGAGACCGTAAAAGTTTCGAAGCATCGCACAAGCACGACTCGAATTTCCTTGCGCTGCGAAGTCGATTCGAAGCAATAAAATGGGCTTACCACGTTATCCAACTAAATCCAGGTTCCTCCACCTGCTCCAACTTTCAGTGGATCGTAAATATTTCTAAGCATCGCACAAGCACGACTCGAATTTCCTTAAACTGCGATATCGATTCGAAGCAAGAAAAACCATATCCCACGTTCATCCAACTAAATCCAGATTCCTCCACCTGCTCCACCTTTCAATGGATGAGACTGCAAAATTTTCTAAGCATCGCAGGGTCTGTAATCGAACTTCCTAGAGATGCGAAGTCGATTCGAAGCAAAAAAAAGAGCTTCCCACGTTATCCAACTAAATCCAGATTCCTCCACCTGCTCCACCAATGGATCGTAAATTTTTCTAAGCATCCCACAAGCTCAACTCGAATTTACTTGAACGGCGAATTCGATTCGAATAAAAAGGGCTTCCCACGGTATCCAACTAAATCCAGATTTCTACACCTGCTCCACCTTTCAATGGATGAGACCGTAAAATTTTCGAAGCATCCCACAAGCACGACTCGAATTTCCTTAAGCTGCGAAGTCGATTCGAAGCAAGAAAAAGGGCTTCCCACGTTATCCAACTAAATCCAGATTTCTCCACCTGCTCCACCAATGGTCCGTAAAATTTTCGAAGCATCCCACAAGCAAAAACTCGAATTTCCTTGCGCTGGGAAGTCGATTCGAAGCAAGAAAAAGAGCTTCCCACGTTCATCCAACTAAATCCAGATTTCTCCACCTGTTCCACCTTTCAATGGACGAGACTGCAAATTTTTCTAAGCACCGCAGGGTCTGTAATCGAACTTCCTAGAGACGCGATATCG